ACCAAAGCTACAAAGAGAAACCCTGTCTCAAAAAACCAAAATAAATAAATAAATAAATAAATGAATTATTAACTCATGGAATTAGGGAAGAGCATCAAACTAACTAAGGCAAAAAGTGAGAAATTCATCAAAGTGGGAATCAACTAATTAAAAAGCAAACCATGTCACAGAACAGACACACAAGACATAGCACACAAAAAAAGTCAACTTGCTAATGTATACTCCCCACAGCCTTTTAAGGGCAGAATTCTGTTATGTTGCTCTAGCTGACTCAAACTTAGGGGCAGTACTGGAACTCGGCTTCCTGAGTAGCAGCAACTAAAGGCAAGTACCGAGACTCAGATGAAGTAATTCACCCAGGATGCAAGGATGGTTTAAGACTACACTGCAGTCCTACAAGACTCCCTTTCGGCCTGAAGCGCAGGGACTGGATGTGCTTCTCCCCTGGAGGTCAAACAAAGGGCATGTGATAAAGTTCAGCACCCATTCTTGGAAACTGTCTTAAAATCAGGCTCCAGGGACACTTCAATAGGATCAACTCTCTCTAAACCAAGTTCGGGCTAGCCCGCCATTTAACGTTATTTCAGAGACATCAAGCCAGTTATCAGTTAGCACACAGACCTGTGTAAAGCAAGACAAAAATTGCTCATCAATGTTTGTATATGAAAAGATCCTGTAGCTGAAACGTGTGAGCACACACACTGTGAGAAAAGGAAGACTGGGGGCTGGCAGGAGACTGACCTAGCAGATCGTCGGGCAGTATGTACGAGACTAGAGTAAAAATAAGGAAAGAATGTCATGGATACCGGCAACAAAACCTGATAAAATCTGTAAAGAATTCTTAACAGAAGGCTCCTGTAAAGTAAAATGCAAAATACATCAGAAAGACCCAACATAAAGACTTGAGTAAACGGATGCCATTTTTTTGAGAAGGCACTAATTTAGATAAATAATTTAACACAATGATGCTGAATTTACGTTAATTACAAATTAAAATTGTCTAGGAAAAACAGTAAAAAGAAAAAAATAAGCAAGGATAATTGAACTGTACATAGGGAATTCTCAAATTTAATTTTTTTTTTTTTTAAAGAATTGAGAACACTGTGCAGGTAGCTCACGCACTGGCACAAAGGAAGGAGGAAAATGACAGTTGGCGCCGGCCACAGAAGAGCCATCCAGGGAATGCTGTCCATCATCATCCTCCGGTTTGACGCTCGGAGGAAGAGGAGGGGGAGCGGGAGGAGAGAAGAGGAGCAGAGAAAAGAGGAATACCTGTGCTTTAAAATGGTGGCTGTCAAAAACAATGTAGTTAGTACTGGTACAGAAAGGCAGGCAGACCAACTGCAGAGAAGAGTCTAGAAAAGTGGAGCTATTCTTTGTAAGAGTTCTGTTTCAAACTAGTTAAGAGACAATGATCAGTAGCTGTGGGAAAGAAGGCAGTTGCCTTGGGGAGGGGGATCAGTTTTGAAGCCTAAATTTAGGAGGAATCACTGACTTCAAGGTTGAAACAATCAAATAGAAGACATCTAGCCTTGTGTATTCCAACTCTAATGACGTACTTGTACACGAGAAAGGGCACAGGCTGTCCACATGGGCGATCTACAATACGATCTTTGGAGGTAATACACAGATCGGCACCGTATGGACAGCATATGGTGTCTTTGGAGAGATGTACAAGACACTGGTGCTGGTGTGTGTCTTTTTAAACACAACTAAAGGATGGGTGTCAGGGTAGGAGGGAGACTTATTTTTACTTCTTGAACCAGGGAGTTATACAAGCCAATTAAAAATAAATTAAAACATATGCCAGCAGCATGGGCAAGGCTTGATCTCCGGAACCACAAACCAAACCAAACCAACCCCAAAGTTCCAGCTACTAGTAGCATCATGAGGACCGAAAGGTTAATTTGCTATGTTGAATTCTTGCATCAGCAGACTGGTCAAGATTTACTAAGCAGGAGGCAGCTTTCTTAAAGGGGAATTGCTCCTGCCCTAGGGAAATTTGGCTGGAATACCCTATCTCCGGTGACTGGCTCCTTTCATGGCTTCAGCTGTCTTATATGCGGCCTGACTTGGCAAATGAACTGAAAGTCAACAAAAGTAAAGAACAGCTTTGATTTTAAAAAGTACCTCAAGGCAATAAAAAAAATTATTTTAATTTTTGATACATATTAAAACATTTTAGTCAGGTGTTCCTGACGGCATAACAGGACGGATACACAAGACCTCAAACATGCTTTAAAATGACATTCAGCAAAGTATCCAAAATGTAATAAATAGCAATAATCACACACAAACACATCTTCATACTCAATCAGTAAGCTACTAAAACAGACAGCTAAAGAATAAATAAACAAGAATTGACACTAAAAAAAAATAGTAAATGGGGTTTTGTAATTCACTCTACTTATAGAGGGGGGCAATCTGAACAACTTAATTTGCTTTTCAAGATTACAGTGGCGACTCCCCTCCCAACCCCAATAATAAAACATACTGGAAAAAAATCATTCTTACAATAATGCAGTTTTTAAATACAACAAATAAATATGAAACCAGCAAAGCAAGTTCAAGTTGTAATAAAAATGGTCCCCCACCCCCAAAGCTATGGAAATATATAGTCACTGTGGTAGCAAAGGATAGCATCTAAAGTGGTGGTGCCTGGGCACCAAGCTCATCTGAGACCTTTGTAGGACACTAGTGCAAAGCCCGAGGGTCCAATTCACGCACATCCTGTACTGGAGAGACATTACCAGGTGGAACTTAGCACATACAATGTCTGCACACAGTTTATAAAGTTCCCCAACTCACGCATGCCCCTGTACTGGAGAGACATTACCAGGTGGAACTTAGCATGTACAATGTCTGTACAGAGTTTATAAAGTTCAAAGTTTAATGCATAGTAGAGTATCTTCATCCGCTTAATTCTGTTCCTACATCAAGATGAAAACAGAAATATCTTGGGATTTTACCATTTGGTCTGTACCATGTGAGAGTATTAAAGTCAGCATTAGAAAATCTATAAAAGTTTGTTTTCCGACAGCAATTTATCTAACTACGCAAATTTTACATCATTGTGTGTTAAATGTAAGAGGAAATTCTTTTCCCTTTGACAGGTCCATATGATGAAACCCAGTAGCAGACAATGTTATGCAAATAAAGAGGTGATTGCAAGGGTTTTCTTTTTTTTGTACATTAATAACCTTAGCATCTAGTATAATAAATTACATAGTGTCAAAGAGCATAAAAGATTCAATTAAAAGAAAGTACTATTTTGTACAAACAAACCTTTTAACATAAGATAGATAAAAAGACTGGGAATTAAAGCAGCCATATTTCTACCATTAAACTAAAGTACCAGGATTTAAAACAAAACAAGTAAAAACAAATGGCAGAACGTGACTGGAGTACCAATACACAATGCATTGTTAGCTGCTAACCCAGTGAACTCCAGCTCACAGAGTTACACGGTGTTCAATTTAACCATGCAGGCCAACATATAATAATAATAAAAAAAAATCACCCTGCATCTTTTCATTTTAAACTAAAACTAGTTTAATAGTGAAGCTACAAAACAATGAACGGATATTGCTCCAGCTCGCACAGTCTCTCTGGTGCGCCATCCTAACACAGCAGCAAAGCCTCGTCGTCACTCGTTTCGCTCTTCATCGTTGCTTCTAAGCAAGTGTCTGGGATCTGGGCTGTGTGCACGATGCCACAGCGCTCGCAGGGGCCATCGCGGTTACCGGTTCTGACTCCAGGGTTCGCGGCACTGGAAGGCTGCCTAAGCCCTTGTACTTGGTCTGAGGCCAGATCAAGGAGGGGTCGGGAGCAGTCACTGGCGTCAATGTCTGAAGCTCCGTCAGAAACTGGAATTAGCATTTCAACATCATCATCGTCTTCTCTTCCACTCGCCCCGTTATCAAGCTGTCTCAAAGGACTCTGGTTCTGATTTGTGGAGCTCGACCGACCTAATGTAAACCGTACCCAGCGCAGGCCCTGAGTCATACGACTTAACGCACTTGTGAGCTGGTGGCGGGCTGGGCTCACACCCGAGGCTTCCACACCTGACACATCCCTTCCATCTGCAGGGCCACCTCGGGTGCTCTGGGTTGAGGAATTCCCACCGGTTCCCACCGTGGTTTCCACGGCTGTCGTGGGAGGGACTTTCTGGGGCAAAGGCGCAGCCACCCCACCAGATGCTCCCGGCGTATCCCTTCTCTCGCTTTCTGTGTCTGTGTCGTCAGACTCCACGGAAAACAGGCTTCTGTGAAGGTGACTCCTTTCCGTTTCTCTGCTGCTATTCTGACTCGGAACAACCTCGTCTCCATCTGCCGAGACCAAAGCTAAGGATCCCGAATGACGCGATCTTGCAAAGTTAAAAATACGATTCCAAATGCTGCTGGATCTGCCGCTCATAGGAAGCCTGATTGACGTGAATCCCAGCTGAGACCGGACGGCTAGCCTCAGGTTTTCTAAAACCGAAGCCTGCAAAAAATTAAGAGGGGAAAAAGTAAGACCATTAATAACAAAGTGTTTTTTGGCCCATTGTTTCAGGGGGTGGGGGATGAAGTAAATCCTCTCGGCTCTAACCTGACTGCAATCTCAACTTTACAGTAATAGCTGTGTCAATTCTAAGTTATTTTATTTCAAACGTCAATAAGAACCCAATCCTAAAACTGTACCAAGTGTAGGAAGATAAATACATTTACAACCAGAAGACTGATAAATCTCTAGCATACTTCACTAGGTGACCTGGCATCATTTATGTTTACGATCTTTTACCCACTTAAATAAGTTAATAAGTTAGCCTTGCTATACCAGGCTGAATTGTCCTGTCCATGTGGGAATTTCAGAGCTAGTTTCCAGACCAAGTCAATGAGTACTGAGGATCCAGTTACACTGCCACAAATAAAGGACTGAGCATGCTTGTAACGGAGACTAGTATACTAATCAAAAGTATACATTTGGACTCCTCAACTTTAAGAATTAGCTTCATTTTCAGTTTAGGATTAAACCATATTAGTTTTAAAAACGGATAATTTTAAAAAATTATAGACTTTAAAATATGAAATGCTTCACAAACTAAATGCACATAATAAAAGTATCTTGCTCAACTAAAAGAAACCTAGGGGCCAGCAAGACGGGCCATCAGGTGAAGGCATGAGCCCCACGCCTGGCACCCGAGTTTGACACCTGGAGCCCACGGGACCCAGGCAAGTTGTCCTCTGACTGCCACAGATGGCATCAGAGCAAGCCTGACCCTCTTCCAGACACAACAGTAAATAAATGTAATCAAAAGATATATTCTTTTGTTCTAGATGATAGTGTTAGATTATTTTTAAAAGTGCAGCACTAAGTAGTCTTTAAGCTCCACCTGGTGGTTATGGAGTTGGAGCAAACACAGTTTAAGACCCTGGATCGAGCACTTAAAATCCTACCTATCTCTGCAAAGGCTAGCTGACACACTCCTTACACAGAGGTCTACCCTGCCAGGGCCCAGAAGGAAGAGAATGGGGGAGACAAGCTAGCTTCCGCTCTCCACCTGTGTTGGTCCTGCTCATACAGTTATTCCTGTATAGTCTAAAAAAAGTTCAGCAAATGCTAAGAGGCCACCATTAGGGAGCATTTCCTAGCCTAGCTTTAGGACAATACATCCCCCAGTAAGACATTTGCCTAACAGAACACGTGGACTTTCAGTACAAAATGTGTAAGTTTTCCACCAGTTAAGAAGCATCTAACTACACAATAAAAACGAACAGTAGTTAAGCTTAGAAAGAACTTCTCCGCAGACCTAGTATTCAAACCACAGTCAAGCAGGGCAGGTTATCCGCACAGCAGGGAGCAGAGGCGGGCAGACCCTCAGCACACTTGACCCCAACTCTGTCGTCACCTCTGCCACAGTCAGGAGTCACTCTCCACCTGGCCAGAAGCCTGCTCACAGGCTGCCAGTTAACACTGGGTTCTACAGGACACTTCATGGGGGTCGGGTGGATGGGAGCCTAGAGCTTAGACTGTGAAGCAGCAGGAACTCCCCGGAAACATTTCTTATTTTATACCAGATGGCAAATTACAAACTTACTTTCTTTTAAAAACTTGTGCAAAGTTGATAATTTGTTGCCAGAAAACTTGAGAGTTTGGTTTTATTAAAGCCTAGTTTACTGTTGAAGGACTATCTTATTTAAAATGTTCTTTAAACAGAATTCCTTCACAAACTCTAGAGAAGGGAGCAATGAGGAACAAAGAACTCAGCCCTCCTGGACGCCTCTGACTTGGCTTCTGAAGTGTCATGGCTGACAGAAAGGGGCATCTCCCTGGAGACTGGCCGGCAGCTACCATGATGTGACTTAGGGTAGGGCTCTGGAGAGTCAGGGCGGGGTGGCGGTTGCAGGAGGGCTACAGACTTAGATTAGTTTACATTAGCCACATACTAGTGTGTTGTGACTAGTGTGTCTGGATGGGGGCCCAGGGGAGTGTCCTTCGTTGGTAACAAACACGCAATACTGTTGCACAGGGGCAAACAGGGCTGCCTGAATTCTGCCCTGCACTTTCCCTCAATCACAGAACAGAATCATGGCAATCTCATGGACAAACAGCGCCCAGTGAGCCTTTCAAATCCACTTAGAAAACCAGAGGGAGCTGGGGAAGCCCCTGAACTTGCAAATGGTCCCAGCAGTGAGCAGTCCCAGGGTCTGTGGCTTTGTAGGCACAGCGGGGAGGAAGATGGGAGGATGTGGACCTAGTCAACCACATCCCTCACCTACCTTCAAAGAAACTCTGACTGTGGCAGGGCCAACAGTATAAAGAAACTATAGTGTTTTTTTCCATTTTACTCCCTAAATTTTGACCAGTATAAATTCTGAATTATAAATTACACCTGGAAAACGGTTCAAAACCTACAAATTCTTATCAAGAATCTGCTGAACACTCAAATAAGGTGGCACATGGCAGAAGTGAAATGGTGCTCTGTATTTAAAGAGTTAGATCACTGAGAAAATACTATTTTTTTCAGTTCTAAGTCTGAGCATCATTTTTATAGACACTTGTGAACACATTTAAAATCTAAATGCATATAAATCCTGACTAAAGTGAACCTTGGTATATTTTAAAAAACTTACTGAGAAATTTGAAGAATCAAGAAACATGAATTACAACCCAAAGAAAGTGGACCAAATTTTTAAACAGTGCAAAATTCAGCCAGAAGTTCTCCCTCAAATGAGGAGCAAAGAACTTCTCCAGTTACTTTCACTTAAAACTGGTTAATAACATTGTTAGTATTAAGTATTCATTCTTAAATCTCTAAGTGTTCAGTTCAATCGGAAAATTTTAAATTTCAGTGTACTCATTATAAAAAGAAAGATGTCTAAGAACAATCATACCATAATCATAAGAATTAGAATTTCATAGATTCTGTTTAAAATATAATAAAAATTTATAAATTCATTTCTCCATATATTTAATATTTGCTTGACTGAAAATTCCTAAAGCTAAGGGTTCCTGTTTTACTACATAGAAACTTTAAAAGCATTAAATGATGAAGCATTAAAATCAGAATTATACCTGATTAGGTGAACAAACGGGAAAATCCTCCACGGGTGGGATTAAGCCCTGAGCAATCAACTGTCCGTAGGAGGGAGGGGCTTCTCTTCGCAGCAGTTCGGCTTCCACTCGGGACAGCTGGGTCTCAAACGACCTTTGTAAACGGAATAAAGGGGTCAAAAGAAGGCGCCTGTCAGAGTTCCTCCATCAGTGCTGAAGACCAGCTGACTCTCAGCCAACTGACTCAACGAGCCACTCCTATCTGGAAATACGCTGCCCTCGGAAAGGCTGAGGAGAGCGGAGTGTCCAAGGGAGCTTCATGCTAGCAAAAACCTAGGTGACTGTGTTCTGGCAGACTGGAAAGCTCTGTCAAAGGTACACGGTAAGATAACAGATGTCAAAACCCCAAGCCCTAGTTTAGGAGACAGCTGTTGAAAGGGTCAGAAGACCCACACTTTGTTTTTTTCAGGTCGGAGTGAAATGAGCCCCCAGTCTATTTTCGGCAGTAGCGGATGGAACTGGAGGCCCGACTCTGCACCGTGTTACACCCTCGCTGGAGTATGGTCAAGGTTTTCAGCTATCTGCATTTGCTGCAAGGGAAGATGCAGCAACTCCATCATGGCCCTGTGCACCTGCGCACCAGCTGTGACTGTTAGAACTGAAGCAGCTGTCCCCACAGTAGCCTCCTGGGAGCCGTCTCTGCCATTAACTTCTTTCAGTTTATCTTCGACCACGCTGGAAGCTGCTCTCCCTGGAGTCCAGCCTCCTTGGGGCTCAGTAGAGATCCTATCTCACACTGAACTGCACAGCCAGGCCTCGAGTTCCCCTCTCACGTGCTGTTAGTCCGCTGTGTGTTTCCAAGTCTCCAGACCCAGTGAATTACGTGTTTATTCTTGGAGCAAGGCTTTTATTTTATTCTCTACACACTTCTGCAGAGAAGCCCCTCTGGTACCTCTTCTCCACATCCCGCTCACATATTGCAACAGGCACCTCTGGAGCGAGGGCTTCCACATGCCGCCACCACGAGGGTGCTCACTCCAGTTACACGGAAGGCTCACCGCTCTCCTCTTATTGTGAGCCTGCCTGGTAAAACTATGGCCCATTTATTTTCTCCTCACTTGTAGGAAGCTATAAACACTGGAGGCTCTGATATGTGGAATTATTGCATATTTATAAAGACAAGATAAAACTATAACTGAGAATAAAAGTTTGCAAAATCCCCTCCAGTAACCTAGTAAATATATTCCTTATCTCATAAAGCTAAATATTATTTTGTACTATATTTATCTTTGACTATTGGGCTTTTCATCCTAATTTTATATATTCTAAACATTTATACGTCTCTAAAGCACATTAAAAGGACTTATGGCAAACATCTGGGCCACACTTTTAAATCACGCATGTGCGCTTGCGAGTAAGCTCCTGTGGAGGCCAGAGGCCAAGCTCAGGTGTCAGTAACCATCCACCTTGTTTAGAGCGGCAAGGCCTCTCACGGAAACCCTGAGTTTGCCCATTAGGCTGGCTGGTAAGCGAACCCCTGGGATCCTCATGTCTCTACTGGCACTGGAATCACACGTATTCACTACCATGTTTAATTCTGTGGGTTAATATAGGGCACACACGCAGCTCCTCATTTTGCGTGACAAGCGTTTTACCATCTTACCCCCCCTCCCCGGACATGTGTTTACTGCAGAAACCACAAACTAGTCTGTCTTGGTACTGACCTGCGTTCAAACATCCTCAGAGAATAGAGCTTGCAAGTGCAGCCCAGGGCGATGACGAGGAGCAGGCCACAGATGAGGCTCCCGATGACGGCGGCGGTTATGACCCTGGTGGGCACGATAACCGGGCAGTTCTCCTCATCGCTGCCATCACCGCAGTCGTCCTGGGAGTCGCACACCCAGCTTTCAAACACACAGCGGTTGTTTTTACAGTGAAAATTCCCTGGCTGGCAAAAGAAGCAGTTTTTTTCATCGGATCCATTCGGGCAATGATTTTGGTAGTTGCAGCGGTCAGAGCGAGGATAGCAGACACCATTTCGAGAACACGGGAATTCTTCCTTTTGGCACATGGTACAGTTGATTTCATCCCTCCCGTTAGGGCAGTGCCAATAGCCGTCGCACCGCTGCTGCTCCGTGTAACACCCCCAGTTCCCTCCGCAGGGTATCTCCCACGGCAGACAGAAGCCGTCTACTTGGTAAGTAGCGTTAAAGCCCCTTGCCGCATTTACTTTGTCGGCGCAGAAGTGCACCCTTATCTGTCCCGAGGAAGAAACGACCGTGAGAGGAGCGTGGGAATCGAAAGCAGTGAGCACGCGCAGGAGCTTTCGAGGGTTCTCCTCCAGCCCGTCGTATATTTTGACATAGTCACCGTAACCAGTACCATCAAGTTTAAAGTCCGTGAAGCGGAGAATGACCTTCCGGTGATCACCAGTGTCTATCAGCCAGGTGCAATTACTCCCGGGAGGGTAGAAGTCTGGGTAGTTCGGAGAGTTGAAGGTGCCGTAGAAGTATTTTAGCCACTGCCCACACGTGGGCACGTCACAGTCTATCTCGTCCCCCAGGTCCAGGCAGTCAATGTTACCGTCACACTTTAAGGACTCGGGGAGGCAAGTGTAGACTTTGGTGAAGCGGGACAGACACTGGAACTGGTTGTAGGCGCAGGGCTGGAAAGCAGCCGCAGTTGGCGGGTTGGCGTCTTTGGTGCACACCTCCTCGTCTGAACTATCTCCACACTCGTCCATGCTGTTACATTTCCAGGCTTCTGGAATGCACTTCCCATTACCACAGCGGAACTGATCGCAGGCACAGTTTGGCTCCTCGGATTTCCCTGGGAGAATGCGGGGAAGGGAAACGGCGAGGGAAGAGGAAAATCAGACCCAGCCACACTACACAAGACAGGCATATTTATATAATGATGATGACAAAGCTTGAGCAATAGGGTTTAAAACCCTGTGGAAAGTGTGTTCAGTCCTGGTGAGACATCGGCACTGGCATCACGCGCCCGGCAATTGCATCTGTTAACTGTTTGCTCCTTGCAGGTTTCCCTAACGATGGGAGAAGGGATCAGGTCTACTTTGTAGATGCTATTTCACTACGAACACAGAGAATGACGTACGACAAGGGAGCCAAAGGATATACTGCCTAAGAGCTTAACATTTTATAAACATCACTAAAACAGGAGACATGTTTGAAGGAAGAAAAACCGCCCAGGCCAGCACTTTGCCAATAATCTTTCACACTCTCCTCTAGCTCTTGCTCTGTCCTCAAACAAAGCAGCATTTTGCTGGGCACACTGCAGTGTGTTTTACAGTTTAGCCTTGCTTTTCATGAACTGCCATCTTAACTTTAAGTTGCACATGCTCCATGAAATCATGATGAAATACTTCCACTTGACAGTTTATTTTTAACACAACTGCAAACAGTTCACGGAGTGACTAGTGCCTATTACCGGGTATAGTTCCGTTTCAGGGAGGGTAGAAGTCTGGGAAGTTTGGAGAATTGCTCATAAAGGACAGGGGAAGAACTGCTTAGGGAATTCTAATTATTTCAGTATGCCATGCTAAATATTCCATAAGAGCAACAGAAACGAACCAGACCCTAGCAGATTCCCACAGCCCCTGAAGGGACAGCGCGCTGAGCCGTTGTTGCCTGTCCACTAACAACCTACGTGTGGATGAGGAGGCGGCAGAAGTCCTCCAGGCTGCATGAACGTGACAAAGGCACCCAGTGCTCTAAACTTTCCACATGTGGGTGACGCACTCATGTTGGAAAGTGGCTTAGGAAAAGAAACATCAAAAACTCGGAGACTGTGAACTAACTGTGCTGGTGGGAGGGGGCTGTCTTTTGCTTTAGATGTAATGAGAAATAATTCATACGCCAGAAAATATACTCTCATAAGATCTCTTCAATAAGGGCAAAAGCTTAGAGAAAAGCACACTTTCAAGACAAATATATTTAGGACGTTTTAAAAGATAGACCCTAGTTTATGAAATTAGACAATTTATTATGGTCGCAGAAACACTGAGTTGGATACTCAATCTGAAGGCAGCTGACTTCAGCTTCTAATCGTTGAGGGCCGACACATGATTAAACAGACACTGTTCAGAAAACCAAGTAAAGTGAAGAGCAGTTAACACCACACCTGAAAAATACGCCAGTCTGAAGCCTTTCCTGGACACGCTGTCATCCGAATGGAACCGGATCCACACGTGGTCTTCCGAGGAGATATATGGAGGCGGGACTGTGGACCCACACGCTCTGTAACTTTCAATATTCTTGTATGTTTCTATTGTTAACCAGTCCAAACTGCACCTTCTGGATCCCTGGATATCAAAGTCCTGAAAACTAAAAAACAAGAGAACGTTGGAAGAGGCTTTAAAATAATTTGACAAGAATGTTCATAAAAACGAGATGTAACGGAAGATGTCCGCAGCAGCTGACAGCCACATTGTCAGCCACCACACGCCAGCTGCTAGGGCCTTATGCCTGCATGGCTCCCTCAGGTCCCAGCAGGGCTCTGCTCTTCATAAGGTCACAGCAGATTCCAGAACCGTGCTGAACGCCAGCTGACAGCACAGGCTCCTGGTCTGTGTTCAGGGAAACCCTTTCCGATCCTGACCTGCAGTTCTTCCTGCTTGAGTCACGAGTTCAAGCATGGCGGAGGTGCCCTACAGAAACTCCTCTCCCTTCAGTTAGGCTAGGTCACCCACTTCTTCAAGGCAGCTCCCGCTAAGTTTCCAGGACAGCAAATCAGAAGAATAAAGAGAGAGGGGGAGAGGAAGGGGAAGGAGGAGAAGGGGACAACAAACAAGAGTAACATGTGCTGTGACTGGCCCTCGAGTTTGGGACTAATCTTTCATATAAATCACCTTATAGTTAACCATTAACATACAGTTCCTAAAATACGGACTCAAGAAAATGGGAAAAAAGTCAAACAAGAACAGGGCAGCAGCCACTGCTTGGTACAAATGAGAAATCTAATTCTGCTTCCCGCATCTGAACAAGGCTCCCTAACAAATGAAAACTCGACTTTATCTCTCTCCTCCACTTCAGATCAAGTGATAAGGGCGTTAACTGCAGGGCTGATGTGGAGCTATTTTCTCTCTGTGCAGGCTGTGCTTGTCCCGGCCCTTACAGCATCACATACACTTCCAGAGATCTCTGTGTACACGCCCTCTCTCTTACAAGTCGGATTTTCATATTACATCTAAGTTTTTAACTTTCTAAAGATACCATTTACACAGAAGCTATTAGAACTGTGATTTGTTTTCATGAACATGCCAATAAACATATATTACTATATTATAAATATTCAGATATACCCAGCAGTTATGTTTTAATGCGATTATACTTTGTAATGTGATGTGTTTTATAAATTAAGAAACATTCTTGGAATTAATTCATTGGTTTGACCAGACTACCAAGAACTGAGAGGACAAAAAGGTTAAAAAGAAAGTCCTGTGAAGTTTGATCCATCGCTAGAACCATAGAACCTTCATCTAGTGATGGATGGAGATAGAGACAGAGACCCACACTGGAGCATTGGACTAAGCTCCCAAAGTCCCAATGAGGAGCAGAAGGAGGGAGAACATGAGCATGGAAGTCAGGACCACGAGAGGTGCACCCATCCACGGAGACAGTGGGGCTGATTTATTGGGAGCTAACCAAGGCCAGCTGGACTGTGACTGAAAAAGCATGGGATAAAACTGGACTCTCTGAACATGGCGGACAATGAGGGCTGATGAGAAGCCAAGGACAATGGCATGGGGTTTTGATCCTATTTCATGTTCTGGCTTTGTGGGAGCCTAACCAGTTTGGATATTCACCTTCCTAGACCTGGATAGAGGGGAGAAGACCCTGGACTTTCCACAGGGCAGGGAACCCTGACTGCTCTTTGGACTGGAGAGGGAGGGGGAAAGGAGTGGGGGGAGGGGGAGAGGGGTGGGAGGAGGGGGAGGGAAATGGGAGGCTGGGAGGAGGCAGGAATTTTTTTTTCCAATAAAAAAAATAAATAAATAAAAGCAAGTCCTGATATGGTAAACATTACAATGTCCCGGTAGCTGTGCTACAGGTGGATTATGTTGGCTGTTTATCTTAGCACTTACTTTTTTTCATACAGTCTGGAGGTTGGGGTGTGGGCTTACTTTGTGGGAGGCTCTTTGGATGGACCTCCCTCCCTTCCTCCTCTCCTCTGTGTTCCCTATCCAGGTTTCTTCTTTTACAACTGGTCTCAGTGGTGGCTCACACAACTGCAGATTCTCCCATGGAGTCCATATGTGGCAAAGTCATCCATGTTTGCTGGGAGGCGACCAATGGCTACGAGCGGCTTTTTCACAGCCTTCCTAAGCAAAACAGGCAGACCCCGGCTTTGACTCATATTTTATGTCAAGGGCTGAGGGAGAAGAGTGAGGGAGAAGTGGCTGGTGCCTCCATCTCTAAAGTCTATGCAGGGAGCTCTCACTTGCGTATTCTACACCACTCTTCCCCACTTGAATTCAACTGTTTGAAAATCTGTTTCTGAAGGAAGCTGAGGCAGGGGGCTCAGAGGTTAAGAGCATTGGCTGCTCTTCCAGAGGTCCTGAGTTCAATTCCCAGCAACCAAATGGTGGCTCACAACCATCTGAAATGAGGTCTGGTGCCCTCTTCTGTCGCAGGGATGCATGCAGGTACAACAATGCATACATAATAAATAAATGTTAAAGGAAGTGAGGCAAGAAGATTATGAATTTGGGTCATCCTTGGCTACGTGTCAAGTTGAAAGTTAGTTCGGGCTCTTAAAATAGTAACAAACACAAAACCCAGCGCACTTCCACATTCCTATGTATTTCATGCTTGTGCTTGTGCGTCTACAGGGTCAGGGTCAAGCCCACACCTTCGCCCAAGCAAACCCCTTACTCTGAGCGGCACCTGCAGCCCTCACTTCAAGTCATTTCACTTTAAGTTAGTGCAGGTTGTACAAGTAATAAGTTTTCAACCATTTTCTAGGTGTGTGTGTGTGTAGTGTACACACATGTTCCGGGGGGGGGCATGTGCACATACGTGTACAGGTGGTCAAAGGTCAACTTCACTGGTGTTTGTTCTTCAGATTCCACTCACCATGAGATCTCTCGTGGGGACTGGAGTTTGTCAAATGAGTGGTCTGACAGGCGATTCAGACCCGGGTTTTCATGTGCAGGTGACTGAATAGTTTCTCTGCCCTCACTCTGTATTCTTAAACCATGTTATTTTGTTTCTAAATTATAAAGCCGAGGAGAGGGCTTTGTGAGAGAAGTGCTTCCTGTGCAAACACAATGCCCAGAACATGTGGCGTGGTGGCGCGTCTGTAAGCCTAGTGCACAGAGGGGCTGGGGGCGAGGGACAGGCTTGTGTCCACTAGTCTACCTAAAAGACAGTTCTAGGCTCAGTGAGAGACCCTTCGAAAAGAAAGGGAATACACCCAATGTTAGCTTCTGGCCTCAACATATGCAAACATGGGTAAACACACCTGCAACACATGCAATCACACACCAAAGAAAGCAAATCAAGATATGTTCAATAGCATGTTTAGTTATATAAGGACACGCATGTCCACCGACAATCATACTGTAACTTCTTTAAAGAAGAGGAGACAATGAACGAGGCTGAAGTCATGGCTTGGATCTTTGAGCTGATTGGTGGGTTCTGTTTGTCTACACAATGCTAAAGGTCACTCTTGATCTTAACAAGCTATTTAGCAATTTATGCTTTTGTTAAGAAGCAGTTACAATAGCTGGGTGTAGTGGATTATACTTATATGATGTGTTTATCCTGGATTCAGAAGGGGGAATCCAGCACTCTGGAAGCTGAGGCCACAGGAGTTCCAGATCAGCATACATGCTATGGACAACAGAAAATGCTGAAAACCAAGTTAGTTAGGTCATTGTCTTACTCTTTAAATGACACTGATAACCATAACTTATTTTATGTTCTGCAAAATGTTTTTATATTGCTGTACCTCTGACAATGATATCTGGAAACCGCATTTACATTTCTAAATAAAAGACCAACCATGTGAAAGGATCAGAATTACCTTATAGTAATGATTTCCCCTGGGTTTGCCCGTATGAGCCAGCTACAGTTGATCTTGGCGGGGTACTCAGAAGGCCAGCCCGGACTCGTGATTATTCCACTCGGGGCTCGAATTTGTTCTGGAGTCTCTCCACAAGCTGGAAGACAGCCAAAGCGACCTTAGCTAATCATTACATCCTAACAAGAAGACAGTACCTCTTTAAAAAAACAAAAGCAAAACCCAAACACTTCAGATGTGAAATCACATGCAGGAAGACGTGGTTTGGCTTAGAAAGCCTCTATTCCACTCTGGTATTTTATTTTCTTCCCCTTTAGAAAAAGAACCTTATCCTTACTCACTGGCAGGCAAGGAAAATTTCCAATTAGATCACTCAGGCATCAGAATTTTTAGGTTTAAGTGCAGATATCAATCAATTCCCCATCGATCTTTTCTCATGTTTATCTTTTAAATTCATTTTACTGCGAATATCTATTCAGTAAATGTACTTAGATCTTTAGGATCATCAAGCTGTTTTCAGTGAGCTTTAGATAACCATAAATATGGAACTGCAGTGTTTGATGAAGTAGGCCACTGGATACAGACGGTAAGACATTAAAACCCTGCGAACTGTCCCTGCGCCACTGCGTTAATACTCTCCGGCATAATCACAGGGCTGTGGTCTGAATGAGAATGACTCTACGGATGCTCCAGGACCCCCAGTCTGTGGCGTTACTTGGGTAGGTTGAGGAGGTGTGCTTGCTGGTAGAAGTTATCGCTGAGTGGGGATTTGAGATTTCAAAAGCTTCCCACTGTCCCAGTTCACCCTTTCCTTCCTGTGCGTGGAGACGTGAGCCCTCAGCTCTCAGCTCACTTTACAGCACAATGCCTACGGTCTGGCTGCCACAGGCCCTCAATCCCTGGGACCACATGCACCCCCAAACCCTTTCCTTCTATAAGCTGCCTGGGTCACGATGCTTTTTACCAGAATAACAGAAAAAACCATGAAGACAAGGGTGTTGAAAGAGTCCTAAATCACTGAACCATAAAAGAACACCCCAAAAGAAAACATTCATGCCCATACACCTTTTCTTATCTAGAATCATGCAGAAAATCTGACAATGTGTTCTTTCCCACTAAAAATAAAACACTTGGCTAGACAGGAAGGAAAAAGACAAAGAAAGGAACAAAAAGGAAAGAAAGCTAAAGGCTTTAGCAGACCCTAAACCTTGGAAGCTATTATTTCACACTATTTCATCAATTACCGTTGCTGATTTTTTTTTTTTTTTGGTTTTTCGAGACAGGGTTTCTCTGTGGCTTTGGAGCCTGTCCTGGCACTAGCTCTGTAGACCAGACTGGTCTCGAACTCACAGAGATCCGCCTGCCTCTGCCTCCCGAGTGCTGGGATTAAAGGCGTGTGCCACCATCGCCTGGCACCATTGCTGATTTTAAAGTAGTGGGGAGAGCAGCTGACAAGGGCACATTAGGAATTATTAGAACTCTTGGGACAATTTTCAGAAAAGTAATAAAAATATATAACAAACTAAAAACCCAGATAAGCACTATGTCCCAATGAATTAACTAATCAGTATATACGCTTATAAAAAATATTGCCGATGGACAAAATGAGTCAGTGTAAGCGATGCACATACGGTCTGAACTCTGGCAGTTTAAAAGATCAGTGACCAGACTTGAAGGCAGCAAATGCCCTCACTGCAGTTACAACTGGGTAAAAATCATATGTATGATATATATGTATCTATATATACAGAAAGACTGTTGTGTTTACATCCATCTGTAGGTGAGGAATCTTAGTTGCATCCTCACAAACGGACAATTGTCCCATCATATATGCACTAAACAAGAAAGATTCCTTGTAGAGTCAGTCTCTCTCTCTCTCTCTCTCTCTCTCTCTCTCTCTCTCTCTCTCTCTCTTTCTCCCTCTCTGTGTGTGTAAAAATCCTTCCTTTTAAACAGAGGTTGATACTCACTTAATTTAGGCCAAGGATGGACAGAAATAAAATGCAGTTAAAGAAATGTCATCAACGGTGTTCAAAATAAAGCAAGCCAAACCGCTTACAGTCAATCCTTTTTTCCCCTCTTTCTTTTATTGATTTTATTGAGCTATACATTTTATCTGCTACCCTCCCTTCCTTCTCCCTCCCCTTCTACCCTCTCCCATGATCCCCATGTTCCCAATTTACTCATGAGATCTTGTCTTTTTCTACTTCCCATGTAGATTAGACAGTAAATTCTTATGTCTACTGAACAACTCACTTTTGTAGAAAACCCACATCGATGTTTTAAAGTCTGTCCTACTGCAGAGCAAAGACTCAAACCTAAGAGGAAACTAGAATGCACCGGCCAAGGGTCAGATCAAGATCTCAGAACATGGAGATTCACAGCCCGGAATACAGACACAAACACCAAGGGCTCTGCCTTCATGCCCAGTCACAACCACGGCCGCTGTTACTCACTGATTATCTATTAACTGGCTACCATCGCTAGTTTCATTACTAGTAAACTCCTTGAGCTGGGCACGGTGGAGCGAGAGCTCCTCCATTCCCAGCACTCGGGAGGCAGAGGCAAGAAGATGAACGTCTGAGCTAATCTCTGACTATATCAGAGAGTAAATTCCCTCCCTTACAAGAAAAAAGATTGATTTTCAGGAATGATGGTTCCGAAAAAGACTTGATTTCTTCGAGTGTAATTCTCTTATAAAGATTTATTGAAATAACACACTGCTTTGTCTCTGCTTCATTTAGACAGCTGTCATGACCCACGGGAAAAAGTCCAAGGCCTTATTCTGGTCACTTTTACCTAGTAGATTATCACACAGCATAAAACCGCCAACTTTTAAATAAACACTAGACTAACTCTAGGGAAAGACTAGAAAGATTATTATTTTTAGTTTTTTTAAAATTAGGTTTTAAGAAAAAAATTCCAGTACATGAGAAACCAATAGGTGGTGCTCACATACCAAAAAATAAAACTTCTGCGTGAACACAGGACATGTAAATGTGCATAAACACACATGAACATGTTTGAGCACACCTGAATACACATGAACACTGTACACACCTGCATAGGGCTGAGAGATGCCACCATAGACAGGAGAAGTTATTTTAAGACTTACTACACTTATATTTCTATCTGTATTCTTAGTGACATTATTTTAAGGTATACCTCATTCCTCTTAGTAAGTACAGAACTAAATTATAATATCGAAGATTTTCCTTGAACTCATTTTAGATATTCTGACTTTGTTTTGCCCATCTACAGCTTGCTAGAATCTGGCTTTCTGTGGCAGAGGCTTTAAAAGAGCCTTCAGGTGATCTACAGACTCATTAAAACTGTATGCTAATGAGATTCCACGGAAATAAACATATCATTGTATAAAGCCAGGGTTAAAATTTCAGTCTCAAATACCCACTATTCGTTATGGTGATCCCCGCCACTTTAGTCACTTCACCCAAGTGCACTGCATTGGTTGGGTATGTAAATAAACTCTAGTACAACCATGACATAGCCTCCCATAGCTGTGAAAGAATGCTTTAAACTGCAAAAACAAACTATTCAAATCCGTCTTTTTGGTTTTGGTTAAGAGTCTGTCTGTACTGCACTGGCAAACTGGAATGGCTCTCTTTCGCATTACTGGCTTGGCTGCAGTATAACCCAGTCACACTTAGTTTTAATTTCTCCCTGTTAAACAAGGGCTACTCCTTGACGATCCCCAGCATCTCCATCAGCCCGCTTGCCCTCATCACGCTCATCTGGGTGCATTTCCAGAAGCTACCCAGGATCATCAGAGCGTTTCTTTCTTTCCTTGCTTTGCAGTCATTTGATCTACTGAACTCAGACTCCCAGTTCTAACCTTGGCCATAGAAACGACACACACACACCACTCACTTGGTCCGCAGTTCCCAAGATCTCTCTAGAGATCCTGGCATTGCCTTTTTTGCTTCATGTTAGGGTCTACTACCTTGACTGGCTGACAGGCATCTTCTGGTGTCGTCCCCCCCCCCCCCCCCCCCGCCCTCAACTGCCCTGTAGGTTTTCTGGGATTGGTCCCCCTCCCCAGCCACTCTTATCAGGCAGTGCTCATGCAGAGCCCCTTTCTTTTCACTCTTGGTGCACCCCACCCTCTTACAGGCTCAGCTACAACCCACAGGTCAGGGCTTAAACTCTCTAGCCAGGGACTCTGCACGGTCAAATGCTCACTGGGCATTCCAAGTTCAAATTCAGCACAGTCAGAACTATGTGTTCCCAAGTCCTCTTTATTCTATGTTCAACATCTTCACTGGCTCCAGCACCATTTGGTTAAGAGAAGGCAGGTGAGTAAAACGGAAACTCATTTTGAGACTGTCACAGGTTGCCGCAGACATTCAAAAACAAGATCTGGTCATGAGAACTGCAAGTTTCAGTTGGGAGCCGAGCTTGCTTTTACTACCTGTCAGCAAAGCCCAGCCTTACAGTGTCTTTCAACCCCTATTTCTTTCATTACACTAGCATATTATAAACGCCCCAACCCCTTTCATCCCAACACTTCAGCTCTGATGTTTAACCTCAACTGTAATTTGCAGTGGTTTACTGTGTTTAATGTGATCAAATTTAAGCTGCTATTTTCTTGCTTTTAAATGGGCATTTAAGCCATGAACAGCAAGCAAAGGGTGCTGAAGGTGTAAACACAATTATTTTGATAAAGGAATGGTCAATGAGTAATATCACACGTGACAAATCAGACTGGTGGACAGTAAAGCCTGGCCTGCTCCAGGACCGGGCATGGTAGGAAAGAGGGCAGAGGTAGGCTAAGCTGTGCCCCAGAAGGAGTAAGAAAGTGCGACATAAAGTGAGCGGCTGGATGGAGGACAGGGTGAGGACAGGCAGGACATACCCCAAACCTCTATTTATAACTCTTTAAAGAGCTCATTCATTTTAAAAGACGTTTACGTGCATTGGTGTTTTGCCTGGATTTATGTCTGTGTGAGGATGTCAGGTCCCCTGGAGTGGAGCTAGAGACAGTTATAAGCTGCCATGCAGGTGCTAGGAATTGAACCCGAGTCTTCTGGAGGAGCAGCCAATGCTCTTAACCAATGAGCCAGCTTTCTAGCCCCATGTTTATAACTTTTTTTTGTTTTAAAACAAAATGCTTGTATTTTT